CGTGTGTGATGGTAGTGTAGTACATGTAAGTGTGAGTGTATAAGGAGAGACGATAGGTTAAGGAATGGGAAAGAAAGATTGCGCACGGTCTCGTAGCCCGTTTGTAAGTGTTCTCCGGCATTTGCCTGAATTGATTGTAAAGAAAGCTATCAATCAGAATAGTCGATAGCTAGAATTCTCCTCCAGGCTGTGGTTGTACTCCACCTAGCTCTATAGCTAGTGTCGAAATCCCGCCACCGTCGGGACTTGAAACCTAGGCCCTCCACGACCGTATCCGCAGAGGCAGTGGCAATGAGATTCAATCAATCGATGGACGGAGTTGTCGCGCATTGTGGCGCAAGGCTCACCACGGCCTGATGCAACGGTGACAGAAGAAGGGACACTTAAAAGCTCGGTCGTCATCGGGGACAAGGAATGAGGGTGGATATAGTGTCTATCAAAATGGACGGGCACATACGCGAGGGAAGCAACGCTAAAGGGAATAGAATGGCTGTGATGTTATTGTGAAGGAGGTGGCATTCATTCACTGCTGCGAAGGGAATTTTGGCATGCCAGACATAACAACGTAATAATGCGGAGAATTCGGAGAAGAGGAATAGTGAAGATTTCATAAAAGTTGAAGGGAATAAAAACAAATGTGTAAGAGAAATCTTAAAAAATTGAAAGATTGGAGATGATACGAGATTGCAATGGTAAAAGACAAACTGAAGAACGGGAGAAGTTGAAACAAGGGGAGGGGAACGCGAATCGATATTAAAGAACTGAAGAGTGATATTGGAGTAAATCAAGAACTACAAGAGAAACGAGGATGGTTGCAAGTGACAATGAGGGGAAGAGACAAGTATCAACAAAGAAAGATGAGAGAAAAGAAAGGAAAAGGGAGAAAGAAAAGCTCCGACGTCTAACAAGGAACGAATTCTGTAATTGGGCGAAAGTTGATTAGAAAAAAAAAATTAACAGAGCCCGAAAAATACACAGCGACAGAAGTGGGAGAGGTTATCAGTAAGGGAGGTTGGGAAAAAGAGCACTGAGACAGACGGAGAGAGAGGAATACATAGGGAGAGAGCTGCATAGGGAGTGTGAGGCGGGGAGATAGAGAGAGAGATAGATAAAGAGAGCGGATGAGGGTTATGGAAGAAACGAAAATACGGAGAAAGATGAATTAAGATGAGAAAAATATTTGAGGAGGAACCAAGCCGTAGAAGGAAGGTTTTGGTTGAGGAATTACGAAGGGAATAGAGGGAAAGAAGAGTGGAAGAGAAGTTGAGCTGCAATCGAAGGCCGAAGCAAAAACGAAGCGGTGACATCGTACAAGTGACCTGGCGCGCAATTTACAGAGCGCGGAGCGGGCGGGCGGACACCGACC